CGATGAGCTTTGTAAAAATTGACGCGTTTCAGAAAGGCGGGGCATAGAGGAGAAACAATAATGTACAGTATGTGGAAAATAATGTGTTTTTTTAACCTTAAACCGCATAAACACATTTCATTACACCAAATACACAAAATAATGTTCTTTTTAGCAACATCATATGACCCCTTTAACATTTTATATGTAATAGCAAAAAAGCTTGATAAAATACACTACACGTTTCAGTTAATGAAGTTTGTTACAAAACTGCATTTCCCATCATCCTTTGTGTCAGTTTTAAAAAGACAAATAAGGATGATTATTTGCTCTTTATTTTGATGCACTAGCACTAAAAAAGCTTGCTGAAAGAAAGAAATATGAAATTGCTAAACACATCCATATTATTAGTGACTTCCGTCACTTCTTTGATTAATTTACATCTCTTATTTCTATCGTCACTACTAAGACACTGTACACTACCGTTCAATGTTTTTTTTTTTTTTTAAAGAAAATAATATTTTTATTTAACAAGCATGTTAATTTCATCAAAAGTGACAATAAAGACATTTCCCGTCACAAAAGATTTCTATTTCAAATAAATGATGTGAACTTTTGAACTTTGTAGGTTTTGCAGGTATTAAATAATACACACTCAGAAGATACTCTTTCATAATCAGAAGGTGTTGTTTATTTTTAAGGAGAAGCGGTTCTGTAGAGCTGGTCTGTGTTTGTGATGAGGGCGGATGGTGCTCCGTTCTGGTCTCAGTCTGTATTGGAGGACTATTTTGGCTGTTTATCTCTGGATGCCCTGCAGCAGTTCTAAATCTGTGTGCATAAACATGAAGGCGTCTGGATTTGCTTGCTGTTTTGAGATAAGCGCTGCTCCAACAATTCTGTTTAATTGTTGAATTTGAGCATTCACAGTTTGCTCTGATAAAGTGTGTGCTTATGGGGCTACATGTTAACACTGTGTCTCTGCTAATGAGCTTTATTTCTAGTATAACGTGATGTTCCTCATTGTGCGGAGTGTATGTGTGCGCACTGTGTGTGTATTGGTGTCCTGTATGCCTTTGTTGGATGGATGTGTATGTGTGTGTTTGTATTCATATGTGTGTGTGTGTTCTGTGTGCAGCTACAGAAACCTGGCTACCGAGCATGAAACACTCATGCAGAAGTACCTCCATCTACTCCAAATCGTGGAGACTGAGAAAACAGTTGCTAAGCATCTTCGACAACAGATAGAAGATGGGGAGATTGAGATTGAACAGATTGAACGAGAGGTAAAATTTGTAATTCAAAGTGCAGTAGGTATTGTTTATCTATAGTGAACATGCCAAACATGCCAAGAATATATCAGCAGTTATACTGCATATCAAGATGATTCTACCTCTCATAAGTGAAAATGTTGTCTGGGAAATAAGTGCAAAACGAAATATTCAATGCTTTGTCTGAACAGCTAGTCAAATTGTTTAAGAAAGCCCGGTATGAAAAGGTTGGTTTCAGGTTCACCTGACTCAAACATGGTTTACATAAGATGTGATCACACAAAAGAATTGAAAAAAATGCATTGATTACCCTAGTGAAATATAAATATGCTTACTTAAATGTATTTGAAATACATTTATTTCATTCTAAGTACACTACAAATACATTTACATATTTATCTACTTAATAAAGGTACCCTGCAGTTGTGCTTTTATTATACTAAACTGGTAGTATACTTAAAGTCTGCTAAATTGGAACAACTAATTTTGTGCTTAATGCACTTTAATTGTGCAGAAGTAGTGCTAAAGTCCAACTAAAGATATGCTCAAGTTTATTGCAAGTATACTTTAGGTACACTTTAAATATCTTGTATTTAAAGACCGATATTATTCAAAGATCATAC